TTTGACCCGCGCTTGAGAAGCACGGTTTTTGTTTTGGTTGTAATAAAATGTATCAAATGATTTGATTTTTATTATATGATAGTTTTATATGTGAAATTTGATGTATATTTAACTTTTTAGTAGGATATTTTCATTAAGTTTTGCATAACCGAGTCAGTTTTTGGTTGAACCGAGAATCAGAAAATTAAGTGTTGTGAGAGTATGAAGAATTGAAACACATATTAAATTGAAAACAAAATTGGATGGGTCCATGGCCTAAACCCTAAACCCGCGATTCAAAATCTACCAATCCGCACCCGCCAATCAATTTTTTCAAATTGTTTGACCCGCACCTGCCCCACAGCTGGTCAAACGGGGCAGAACCCGCGGGTGATGACTCAGATTCGCAGCCATACTTACATCATAAGCATTTGAGATTTGGACCACAACATAAGCCTTTGAGTAATTTCTTCTAACATAAAACATAAAATTGAAGGAATGATCAAAACATTGAGTTATTAGAAACATATTTCCAAATCTATAAACAATGGTAATTTAGTACAATATCAAAACAAAAGTTTTAATTTTCAAGGAATACCTCTATATTGCCCAATCTTAGCAAATCGTATAAGACATATCACCATGCCTTCTGTTTCTTGGCTAGCTGTATGAAGATTGTCAGCAAATTTACCCCAAAGACAGCAAGCTACTCTCAGACCACTAATAGAATTGCATATCAAGTTATAAATTAATATGTTTATAGGCATATATCTTTTATATTAAATATATAAAACTTACGAAATGAAGATATCTAAATCATAAATCTATATAAACGATAAACTTACATTTGCATCACAAAGAATTAGTTCCATGGTCTCCATATGTCTTTCATGAAATGTTTCCATGTATGAAGGATTTTGACTTGTTAGCGACATGCCGTATTCCTCGGTTTTATATCGCTCAAGAAAGACAACTGCTAATTATTCGTCATTTTTGTTTTAGGTTTTTCAAGGAATGATGAATATAGTGGTTAAGAGAGATTATATATATAATAGGTAGGGACGATATACATATAGTGGTGTAGTACAACTGTGTTTTAAATCTTAATATATGAAATATAACATCATATGATGGTTATAGTCATATGAGTCTATAAAGTATAGTCTTTGAAATATAAGGTGTAATATAATTATATGAAAATATTAATATATAAAATATAACATCATAGCATCGATATATGTGCATATATAAAAAAATGTCAACCAAAAAATTATAATGTTGGAAATCTATATATTGAAATCGTGTAATATAATGTCAATAATCAACTACACTGGCTACAAAGTGTAGGCCAGTTTATGAGTTTATATCATAAAGTTTTTGAAATATAAGGTGTAGTACAATTATATGAATATCTTAATATATGAAATATACCATCATATCTTGGTTAGAGTAATATGAGTTTACAAAGTATATTCTTTGAAATATAAGGTGTAGTACAGCTATATGAAAATATTAATATATTAAATATAGCATCATATCATCGATATATGATGCATATACCAAAAATATCAACCAAAAATTATAATGTTAGAAATCTATAGATTTAAATCGTGTGATATAAGGTGTATAACACAATATAAATGTGTGAAATATATAATGGAATATGGTTAGAGAAATCAATGGGAAGAGAGAGAATAATTTGGGTATATGTAATATTTGATATTGTAACAAATCGATGTATCTATAGATGTAAGCCAAAAAAAAAATTAACAAAATGTCATTAATGAGAGTGCAGACAACTTCCATCAGTCAATTTTTCAAAGATGCTTTTATTTTTAATAGTATAAATTTATATTATTAACCTGAAAAGGTCTATCTTCAAACTAAATAAAACAAATTGGAATCTGATATGCAGCTGAATTATCAGACTAGGACTGAAATAACAATTAAAGTAATGATATCAATGTCGAACTATCAAATTTTTTTTAAAGGCACAACCAAAACTATTGTGTTCGAAATTGATCATTTTCCGGATAAAAGTAGTGCTGGTCTTGATCTTGATTAAAGGTTGTAAAATCATATGGTTTCCATCCAGATTATCTTTTATATACTAAAGCACAAGTCACTTGATCAATTAGATTTTGACAAATGGATTATGCTTTACAAATTAAAAAAAAAATTAAAATTGCAAAAAAACCGTTTTGTGTTTTCTTTTTTTTTTCTTCTATAAAATAAAACTTCACAATATTTCCCACAATGTACCCATGATCCCACGATCCTAAAAACTGCTAATTTTTTAGATTAAATTTAACTCAGAATGCGATCTATTTAGATTCATTTCTGGCATTCAGAAATTGTAATTTCTTAAATTCTTTGCAACATTCCGTTAAATCTTTCTAAAAATTTGACTTCAAGCTAGACAGTTCTAATGATGAAACCGTTTGCAGTTCCAGATTCAAATCACAATATAGTTTTTGGTCAAACTTGAACCACAATAATCTTCAAAAGAATCTTTCAATGAAACAAGAAAATACCGCGGGGTTATGGACTGCCAGTGGCGAAGTCAGGACTCAGAAGATGAAGCTTAAAAGTCCAGGCCAGGTAAATGCAAAATAAAAACGCATAAACGCTTTATGCTCAAATAACTTTTTTTCACGAACCTCGAAAAAACAAGAGAGAGGTGAGAGAATAATTCTCTCCAGTGTCTCTCCCCTTCAACTTCCTTTAACCTAATTTCAGCCGTTAACATTTTTTTCTTCTCTGGTGGTCGGCGAGCTTCCGCTGCCGTCGATCTCCCACCTCTTTTAATTTTCGTAAGCTTCAGTCTCTCACCCTTTGTCCCTCTGTTCTCGTCGCCCTCTCTCTGCCTCTACTCTCTGGATCTCTGCCTCAACGGACCTAAACAGAAGCTTGGTGTGTACTAAGCCTCCCTGGAGAGTAGGCGAGGAGGTCACCAATAGATTGGACACTGGGTCTTGCTGTTCTGATAGAACAAAGAGCCGTCGTCGGATCTGGGTCAGATTCGTTTTCTTAAGGTTTGGCGGAGCAGATCTGGAGCGTCTCTGCCTCCACTGTTCTCCTCTCCTTTCCTGTTGCTCGGTTCCTCTGTTTTTTTGGGGTTTCAAGGTGTATTTCTTTATGGTAGTTTTTTCAGTTTGTTTCAAGGCCGTCTTTACATATTTGGTTGCAGTAATTTATGTCATGTTAGGACTCTGGTAACTTTGGGTGTGTGAATCTTCCGTTATGGGCCAAGGGTTTTCGCATTTTGATGGTTATGACTTAGCAGTCTTTTAGGGGTATGTTGTACTTTGGTTGCTTGCCGTTTGATTCTCCTCACGTGAGTTTTCATGGTGAGGTTTAGTTGGCAATACTTTAATTTCATGGTGTTTGGATGAGATTCTTTCTTAGTTCGTTGAGCCTCTATGTATCCAAGGCGTGTGGACCGAGCAGCGGTTCCCCTTGTCGAGAATTGGAATCTCTGTGGTCTTGGTCTTATCGTATTGCGGGCGAGGCAGCAATGATAAGTGTAGTGTGGATGCAGAAGTGGAGGGTACCGTTGGCGGGCTAAAGCAGCAACAGTAACTCCCGATCAAGTGCTTTATCTCTTCTTAAAAGACTGGTAGGTATTATTATGTGGCCCTTTCGTAGATCTAACTGTTTCCTTTGTACTAGTGTCGTGTTAGTTTTTATGTTTTATCTTAAGTCACCCCAGTGTGGGTTTAAGTCGCCCATGTGTGGGTTCTAGCTGCCGCTTTCAATGAGCTCTTGGTTCTGGGACTATCTCGTTTTGTCGCCAGTGTGTGTATGAATGTTGTAATTTGCTTATGAATGAATTTCAATTTGACGGAAAAAAAAAAACTTTTTTTCACGAACCTTTTTTCTTCTACTTAAATATTTTTTTTTTCCTGCATTTCTAAACATTTTTCAAAGCTATATACTGCATGGTAAAGAATGAAAAAAAATAAACAAAATATGTCAATCTATTGTTGTTATGTGTTACAAAAAATGTCAAAAACATAATTAAAAAGGACTAATCAACTGTCGATTTGCTGGAATGAGTTTATTTGTTATCGTGGTGATATTTCAGGGAAAGAGATTAAGATGGTGTCAACTTAAAACGCACGTACAAAGCTCCTAAAATGCAAAACCACCACAAGAAGAAAAGAAAAAGAATAGAAAAGAAAAGAGAAGAAAAAGGGGAAACATGGAGATAGAAGGCAACAAATGGAGTCTAAGAAACTCAGGGGCTAGAGGAAACAAAAAGATTCATGGTTAGAGAAAACAAAAAGATCAAGATCTAACTTGATAGTAAAATTCCTTACTTCTTTTTGTGTGCTTATAATTTATAGACATGTTGTGATATTATTTTTGTTTAATTTCAGAGCGAATATTTATTTATACTACAATATATGCTAATGTCAATTATCTACCAAATTAAGGCTATTATTTTAACTGTACTTATGCAAGAGACATGCTTTCCCTCAATCTTTTTTTTTCATATGCAATGTTTTTTCCTGGTTTTCGGAGAAAGATTAAATATAAAACCTTCATCTTGGACAATTGTATGATCTAAAGAGTTTTTTTTTTATAATTTTATCGACAAATATAACCACGAAAATAATATTCTTTTCATCGTAAATTATATCTTAGAAATTATTCATTTCCATTGTAAACTGAAAAAATTATAATGCCCGTGCTTATGCACGAGAGATAACTAGTAATATATAAACCAACAGCCAATGTAAGCAAAAACTTCGGTAGTGTATTTGGCTAACGCATGAAAATAGTGACCATGACATGAGGGCCACCACTCAACAGTGATATCAAGTAGTATCAACCAGTTTCTCAACAGTGTTAACAGACCTGTATCATTAACCGAGTTTTTTATCACGAGTTAAAAGAAAAAAAAAAAACCAAAACCAAAACAAACCGGACAGGCCCATTTGCGCTAATGGCAAAACAGTAATTTAAAAAGGATTTTGAGCCTTAAATTCTTGTATCGCCGTCCTTCAAAACCCTAGAAGTCTGCTTAAACCTCCCCTCTCTTGTTCTGTCCTTCTCTCCCTCTCTAAACTTGTTCACTTCCGTCAACAATGTCTTCCAAGGGACTCAAATCAACAAAGAGGAAAGACAGCGAAAGCTCTGACAAATCCGACGCTCTCAAATCCAAGAAGCCGAAGATAGCTCCGTCTAATCCTACCATTCAGAACCAACAACATGGTAAACCAAAGTCTTTTGCAAACAACGACAAGAGTGTTAACCTCTCCAAGAAAGAGCGTCGTGTACAAGCCAAGGTCTTTACAATTTTTGTCTTTTCTATTTGGAACAAACTAAAACATTTGAATTTGGAATCTTGATGTGTGTGTGTTTTTGGTTGGTTTGGGGTTAACAGGAGCTGACAGAAGCAAGGAAGAAGAAGAGGAAACCTCATTACACTCTTGAGCAAGTATGTACCTTTGTAATTATATTATTATAATAATAATTAGAGTTTTAATGGATTCATCAACAAAGGTTTTGTAGAACTTAAATCACTCTTTGTAATTTTAATATCAGGAGCTTGCAACTCTGTGGGAGAAGATGAGGCGCCGTGATATTGGCAAGGACGACCGTTTAAAGTTAGTAGTAGTATCCAGTGATTAATGTTCTGAATTTTAAAACGCTCTTTTATCTCTTATACTTGTGTTTGATCTTATTAGGCTGATATCTGAAGCTTTACATAAGATGAAGGGGAAAATGCACGAGATTGCTGGTTCTCATGTTTCTTCCCGTGTTCTCCAGGTTTGTGTTTTTTTTTTTCCTATCATTGGTTTTACGTGTTAAATCCCTAAGCCTTATGTTTTCTTTTGTCACTCTAGACTTGTTTGAAGTATTGTTCACAAGCTGAGAAGGAAGTTGTTTTCAAAGAACTCCATCCCCACTTTCTTAGCCTGGCTTCTAATACATATGCTGTTCATGTGTTGAAGAAGATGTTGGATGGAGGTGATAAACTAACTTCAAGCGTAATTTATCTTTGCTTCTTTGTACATTTTTTAGCTGATTTTTGTGGTTTTATTATGCAGCTTCTAAGACGCAGCTGTCAGCCTGTATATCCACTCTCCGTGGACACGTGGCTCCTCTCCTCCGTCACATGGTTGGATCTGTTGGTATGTGGACTTCTGATTTTTCAGAATTTACGACTTAATTACATTAATTATGCTCTGTTTCTTTTGTTTCTTCTGGTAGCTCACTTTATCTTAATTTTTTTCTTTTCTCAAGTTGTGGAACATGCGTACCATCTGGCAAATGCAGCACAGAAACAAGAACTCCTTGGAGAATTGTACTCAACAGAGCTTCAGTTATTCAAAGACTTGAACTCAACTTCTGAGAAAAGGTAAATTTTATGTTCTCTGGCTTCTCCTCTTATTCTAGTGCCTAAGAAATTCCTTAGCCTTCCTTTTTGTTGATTTCACTCTTTCCTGCCATGAATTGATTACAGGGTGGTGGACATCATCGCTAAGCTAGGACTACAGAAAGGATCTGTTATTCGACACATGACTGCCATCATCCAACCAATTCTCGAGAAGGGAATTGTTGACCACACTATCACACACAAGTTGCTCATTGAGTACATGACAGTAGCTGATAAGGTATTTTTCAAAAAGAAAAATTTTATGTGAACATTTCAGAGTAGAAATTTATTTGGTTTTCTAATTTTTACTAAATGTTTTTTTTTTGGTGTGTGTGTACAGACTTCTGCTGCATTTGTGATTCAGCAACTGTCAGGCCCACTTCTTATACGTATGGTTCACACCCGTGATGGTTCTAGGCTTGCTATGCTTTGTATCAAACATGGAAGTGCTAAGGTACTTTTCTTTTTGGATGGTTTCATCTGCAGTTCGATATATTATTATAAATATCAAAACAATGTACCTTAAATTTTGACTTCTGCTCTTTGTAAAATCATATACTTTGCAGGAGAGAAAGAAGATTATCAAAGCAATGAAAACTGAAGATAAAAAAAGCCATGTTGGAAGTATCGCTTCTGACCTGTATGGAAGTATGGTAAGAATACGTCTAATAATGGTTTTCTTTTAGTGCTTTGTTTGCTTTATATTCGTTTTTTCAGATAATCACTTGTCTACTATATGTTCTCAGGTGCTTGCATGTATTTTTTCCATAGTTGATGACACAAAGCTAGTAACCAAGGTAGTTTCCGACAAAAAGGTTTCTGGATTATATGTGTATATTTTGTTTTTTGTTTTAAATCTTGTTCAACCTTTTGCAGTTTATTGTTCGTGAGCTGGAGGCCAACTTAAAGGAACTTGTTATGGGAAAGGTTTGTGTACATTGATAGTGAAAAGCACACCAAGATAATATTTAAATTTTTAATCTACATCTAACCTTTTGTTGGCTGCATGATATGGTCTAGACTTCTCTTCTTTGCTTTCTTTAGGCTATCCATCCATGACTAATATGTTGAGTTCGTCCAGTAAATGTTTTCAATCTTAACGCATGGCTTTAAAAATTTCTGCAGAATGGTAGGAGACCACTATTGCAGTTACTCCATCCAAATTCTTCACGCTATTTCAGTCATGATGATTTGGCCTCTCTTGATCTGTCTGTTCCATCACTGTGCTTAACGGTACGACTATATAACCTGACTAAAATGCTTTAATATCTGTTGTGCAATAAACTGGATGTAAAACCTTCCTGTATTGACAAATTACCATCGGATTTCAGGACAAGTCTGAGGCATTGTCTGAAACAAAGGACTCAGATGGCAAAGAATCTGCTCAGGAGGCGACTGAACAGAGCGGTCTTGAAGAAAATGTCACAGTTGCAGGAAGTAAAAAAGATGCCCTTTTGAGAAGGCATGAGTTGTTGCTCATGAGTGGCCTTGCTGAGGTATCTTTGAGTGTGACACGTTTCCTAGATTTTGTTTGTTTTAGTTTTCTTACCACTCTGAGACGTTCTTTAATTTGCTGGACAGCGGCTTATTGATGTCTGTGTGGAGAACGCTGAGGAATTCCTGAAGTCTAACTTTGCCAAAGAGGTCATGTATGAGGTATTGAGTTTTAGCTTCCAGCATTTTTTGTTGTTATGGGTTTTTAGTCCTGTTATGAAGACAATAGGAGAGACTTAAATGCTTGTGTTACCAATTACATATATATACTTGTATGCTCTGATATCACCTCCAAAACAGATGCTGTGTTCAATGTTTTATGCTTTTCTTGCTCTCAGCTATTCTCGTTTTGTTTTCCTCATTTTCGCGTTTATTTCATATCAGGTTGCAGTGGGAGGCTGTGATGGTATTCTATTGCCAACTCTGAGCGAGAATCTGCGTGAGCTATACGTAGCCATTGCCTCTGTAGCAGCAGAGCCTAAACCCGATGAATCAGAGAAGAGTTCACAGCACATCCTGGAAGACTTTCACTCCAACCGAACAATAAGAAGGATGGTCTTGGACTGCCCTACTTTTGCTTCCATTCTTTTTAAGAAGGCATTGTCTGGAAAATGTCGGGCGTGGGCGCAAGGACACTGGTTAGCCTAATCACTTCTCATATATTTATTTTCTGTAGACAAGCAAGTCCTTGGTGAACAAAAAGAAAAGATAAGCAAGTCTTTGAGAGCTGAATCTGTGTTCAATCTCCTCTTTTTTTCTGCAGTTCAAGGATCTTATCTGCTTTCTTAGAGACTCAAGATCTTCAAGTGCGCGAGATGGCCAAGAAAGAGCTTCAAGTGTTGGTGGACGAAGGTGCTATAAAGATCCCAGAAACCAAGAAACCAGAATGATGCAGCTGAATCACTTGTGTTTTGTGTTGCAGTCGTTAAAAAAGGTCACTAGGTTACAGAGAATTATGTGAAAGTTTTGTTTCTTTTCTTCTATGGTTTATTATCTTAATGCAACTTTAAAAACCGCGGCTACTATTTACTCAATCTTTAAGTGCATATGTTTTAATCATGTTTCCTTGTGGTGTGATTGATTCTCATAATTCAACTCACTTGGATCATTTAGTCCCTAATGACCATTACATACCAATTTACAAAAAAAAAAATGTTGAAACTATTAATCATCCATTTCTAATTCTTAAACAGTCTCTTAACATCATCAAGACTACGTGAATGCTATATACACTATGTAAATGAATGTGCATCACATTTTTGTTGTTGAAGCTGAAAACATTGATGTGTGTTATGAGTTATTAGAGTTAATAGTTAAATTAGTAGCAATGGTGAAAGAAGAGATAGAGAGCAGAGATATATCATCCATTGCAATGCTTCTTCTTTCCTTACGCCAAAGCATCGTAGCTTTCTTTACCAATCTCTCTGCGCTCTTTCTTATGTCTTTCACTCCTCTTACTATCTCCACTGCTTTATCATAGTTACGAGAGCAGAGGATATATCAAATACATGGTGGAAGGAAGCCATCCGAGACCACAACACAAAAAGTGTTTTGATTGCAAACATAAAGAAGATAAACAAAAGGAAAGAAAGCATAGGCCATGTTTTGAGACAGATAACTGGTTAAAAAGGCGACAAAAGAAAAAGAAAAAACGTTGTTTGCCTTAGTGGTGATATGTAGTTTACATGATTTCAACAGGGCTTGGAACATAAGAGAACACAAGTGGGTGAAGATATTTGTCTGTAGGCTCTGCACCTTCCTCGAGATCCACTTGTTTGTAGTGTCCACTTTTACTGATGATGTAAGCAATGTTGTGAGTGGGGCGAAACTTACCTCTGGCTTTATCAAGAACCAGAGCCACTTCCTGCTCCTCGTCAACGAAGAAACTTCCACCGGTATAAGGAAAAAGAAAACCCATATCGACACTTAAGAACAGCTGCTTGGTCCACGATACTGCATTGGGCTCGATCTTGCTACTGATCCAAATCTTGACCGTGTATGGAGGCAAACCTTGTTTCTGAAATAACACAGCAAGCTGCTCTTCTCTAACACTAGCGAGGCTTACTATGTCTCCGTAGGATTGAAAAGGCAGAGGCAGACGTGGCTCAAACCTCTCTTTTGTAAAATCAAAACAGAATAACGTCTTGTGACCATACCAGTAAGTGTTGCCCTTTAGAGACACGCCACGTTGATAAAACCCTATATTCCACCAGTCAGGGTAATTGACATCAACAACCTTCTTCCACGAGTTGGAGTTAAAACTGTAGAGTTCAAACTCACCAACATGGCGCTTTAAACTCCGGTCGAAGAAATCCACAAATCTCAACACTTTGTGGCTACGAAGAAGAGAGCAGTTATTAATCTTCTCCGATGAGTATCCAAGAGCGTACCCGTCAAATCTGTTGTAAGAATCTCTGGGTTCGATCCATCTTGTCTGCCCACTATAAGGGTTCCAAACCACAAGCCGATGGTTTGGGATGTCTTTGGTGATGCATAACAATAAACCGTCGCAATGAACGATCTTAGATATGTCAACTCCATCAGCAGGATCCTTGTGGTTTAGGCTAACGAGCTTACCTATACGCTCTATAGATGGTGGAGTGAGGAGATCAACAACGCTCATCAAATAAACCTTATAATCAAGCAGCATGACCACTTTCCTCTTCTGATTATTTTTACGGAGGTGCTTCTTGATAAAGTCATGGTCTCTGGTTAAAGCGTTCCATTTCTTACAAGTAGATCGTACTCCTCCCAGAGATGTCACCTGAAGCCTAGAGAGCACCTCCTCTGCCACATCCCTTGGAAGGTCCGATACCATCATCGTCGCTTTTGTTTCAATGATCGAATCTCTTATTTTGTAGTTAACCTTTTAAAAAAATTATAAAGACAGCTATCTACACCATATAAATTAGGTCATGTACTTTTCTTTTTTTTTGTTGTTGGTAATTTACCTTTTTCTTATAATGCTACTAGTCCATTGAGATTCCTAGGTTGCACCAATATTTCTACTTATCCTAGTTAAAACTTACCCAGCAAGTAATTGTGTTTTTTTTCTTTATGTATTGTGTGCATCTTTACGCGCAAACCTATGTTAATTAAAGAATAGTTATTGACTTACTTTCAGCTGCATTTATCATCATTTTATTACAAAAATCTATAATTTAGATCATGCAAAAGGTTTATTTGTCCTCATATTAGAATTTATACCATTATGTAAGTGAAACAAACTCGGATCATGTTTTAATTTGCTATCATCTTTCCTTATAGTTGGCTCAATTCTAATTATTCAACTCACTTTGGATCCTCCAGGCTCTAATCCTAATCATGTTTGCTTCCAAGAGCAGTGACCGTTACACACCAATTTACAAAAACATGCTCAAACTTTTAATCACCCATTTCTAATCACAACCACTCTCTTAACATCATCAATCATATATACACACTAATATGTAAATGCATATCTATCACATCTTGGTTGTTGAAGCTGAAAACATTGATGTGTGAATGAGTTATTACTTATTAGAGGTTAAAGAAGAATTAAATTAACAAGGGTGAAAGAAGAGACAGAGAGCAGATATATCATCCATGGCAATGCTTCTTCTTTTCTTACGCCAAAGTATCATAGCTTTCTCCACTAATCTCTTTGCACTCTTTCTTCTATCTTTAACTCCTCTTACTATCTCCACTGCTTCATCATTTGTCATCACATCCCACATCTACACACATACATGATTATATATTTATATATATATGTGTCTCTTTCCTGATTTTGATTTTAAACCGATTATAATATTGGATATTTTACCCCATCGGTGGCCAGGATGAGAAACTGGTCCTTGCTAGTAATCTTTCTGTATGTCACTTCCGGTTCAGAGACTAAACCAAAGTCTTTAAGGCAGTAATCTCCAAACGCTCTTGAGACAGCTAAACCGAGCGACCTGCCATTTGGCATACCCACCCGGTACACTCCCGGTTCATCATCTAGGCAAAACAATCTTCCATCTGATTTTTTTATCCGTTCTGCTTCCTCTGTTTAACGGGGAAGTAAAATATACCAGTTTTTAATTCCAAGTTTATGAATCTTTCCATCTGAATATAACTAATTCTGAAAAAAAGGCATTTAGAGATATACCGGGAATGTTCGGTTTAAAGTCTACTGATAGCTGAACCGGCATTAAACCGATTCCATCATTCGAAATTGTTGCTATAACTGCTCTTGAGTCACCAGCATTTGCTACAACAAGATGATCACCCTTCAAAAGCATAAAATAAACTTCAACATTTAGCATCTTTTCTATGTAAACTTATATATTATTTGGTTTTCTATGTAAATTTAAGGATCTTTCATCTTTGTTTGTATGGTTACAAGATATGTACCTGCAAGACTGCGGTGAGAGCGGTGCAGCCGCTGCAGTAAGAATCAATGGATGGATGGATCTTGAGATCAAGATCGATGACAGAGAATGTTTTCAGGCAAGCTTGCTTCCAGAGATCAAATGGAAAGAAACATTCCGGGGAAGATGATAAGGATGCAAGAGTTTGTTGCCATTGGCAAAGCAGTGAAGCTGGAAATAACTGTTTTACTCTTTTGGTTATCACATGTCCCCATGGTCCATGTCCATCGAACATCCCACAGAATGTTATGTCTTCTTGGCACCCAAAACCCTATATATCATGCATAGACAATTTAATTCATAAAACAAGTTGAAATTAATTTCTCAACTATCATATTTACTTTTTGCTACTAAGTTATAGACATCATAACTATATAATAATCACTCTCATCATGTAAGGAGAAGTTACCAAACATAAATATATTCTATGAAAATGTACCTCCCAAACAATGGCACGATCTTGGTTGATTCCTTTCTCACCTCTATTAGAACATATAGAGGTAATTCTCTTGGAAGTTTCGGAGCTAACAAAGCCTGATGAACCTAGCAAAGTCGAATTCTTCTTGGAATCTTTCATCATCGATTTTGCTATCTCTTTACCTCCATCTTCATCTTCGGATAGATATTTTCCTTTCTTCATCGACACACTTCTCGCCAAACCGTCCAAAAACGCAGGCAATAGCACCATTCTCTAGTGCTCTTAGTCTCTCACAATCCTACAAGTATAAACATGATTCTTACAGCTTCTAAAGATGTAGAACAGAGGAGAAGAAAAAGAGAGTCTAAGGTTTAGTTAGAAACTTACCCTTTCTTTGATGAATATTCTTGGTCGTAGTTTCTCTGTTGAATACTTTTCTCTTTGCTGGATTTAGCTACTTATAAGCTGGTGAATCGTCTCGATGACTCATCGTGTTTCTCCTTGGCTCCTTCGACTATTCTAAACCTTTAATATTATACATATACACGTACAAATACATGTGGATAAGGAAACGTATATGTTAAGCATAAAGTTGACGACAATTGTTTTTACAGATAGTTGAAGGCCATAACAAATGGCTATTTTTGGTTAGCTTAAATAAAGGTATATGTCGTTTCCTCTGATAAAAGAAGTTAAAAATGATAGAAGAAATAATCACATCCTATTTATACTTAACATATATATATATATAAGAATATTACAACAACACCAACCATGAACAATTATATCCAAAGAAAATAGTCTGAAAATGACCAATTACTAGGGATAATATATTGCACATCGGAAAATCAAAGAGACCTTACATAAAATATAAAGAGTAAAGATCAATTTATAATCACCAATAGGTTTTAGGTTCAAAACTCATAATAAACTCGAATCTAACATGGTATCAGAGCCTAGAACTTTAAAAAAAAAACAAAGCCCTAAATTTCTAAGTAATTGATTAACCCTTCCGACCGGGTATATAGGTCGTGTTTAACCTTCCGACTAGATATAATTGTCATACTTGACTCATTCGACCGAATATAACTATCTTAAAATTCCTAAATTTTTGGCCGATAAAAGACATCATCTCGAAAAAGAGTACTAGGGATAATATATCCTATATCCGAAAATTAAAGAGACTTTAAATAATATATAAAGAGTTATGGTCAATCCACTAATCACCAATTTTTTTTAAGTTAAAAGGCCATAATAAGTCCGAATCTAACACCAATTCAATATAATTTTTTATAAAATGATGATTTGATGTATTTAGATTAAAAAGGGGTTACATGCACCTACATATCTATAGAACATGTATTTTCTGTCAAATGGTGTATTTTAGACTAAAAGAATGGTATCTATATATATTATCATATTGGTTAATGCATTGATTATGGAAGTGTTAGGAGTAGGAACCGTGAAGATTGTCATTTCAACGCAATCATCAAGTAGAAGAAAATGGACATGTCACATATGTTAATTTTGGGGTCAAATGACTCGAATACAACAACAAAAGCGTTACAACAACCACAGTGAATAACCAATCAAACTTTGATCACGATTTTAATAAAGTTATAAGACCGACTAATGAATAAATTATAGTCGCTTAATACCTCATTTTGATAGAGATGTATATATTTAAAATTAGTAAAAGTCTTGATTAAGTGTGGATGTGGAAGAAAATCAGATATCTAATGGATGTGGTGGAAAATCAGATATCTAAAATGATATCATGTGGCGGTTTGTTAAACAATAAGCACTTGTCAATTAAAGTTGTGGCTGTGAGAAGCTCTCGAATCTAAAGCTAATTTCAGTGCCTTTGATCCGAAACAACTCTTATCTTTTTTTTTATAAAAGTTATTTTATTATAACTTAGTCAGATGATACGTTTTTTTTTTCTTTTTTTTTTTAAACTGAAGTCAGATGGTACGTTCCTATCATTCAAAGGCAATAACATACACACGAAACAAATGCAGAACGCAGGCTTCTTCTTAGTCGAAAGATATATTCTATATTTAGTATATTTTCTGGTTGTACTGTCGAGTAACCATGACATTTGTTTTTTTTGTTTTTTGTTTTTTGATCCAATCCATGACATTTGTTTATATAACCTTTTTATTCTACATAATTACTTCATGCAAGTTATGCATAACTATAATAAGATTGTTCATGCATATTTATGACTTTTATGCGACATATATAAAACTGAAATGTAGAAAATATATTTAAAACATATATGCAATAAGACATGGGATCGGATAACTTTAGGGCTTATTTGCCAAATAGCTAGGAAAAAAAAGAAAATTAGTTTTTTTAAGAGAGAGATAGGAAGAAAGAAGGGGAGAGAGAATATGATTTTGACTAATTAGCTAATTTTGAGTTTTTGTGTGGTTATAGGGTCTAATTTCCCATAACTTTATGTATATATTAGGGATGATCATGTTATGTGGGGGTTTTTAAATACCTTTTACTTTGCTTTCCCTTGCGATTTAATAATCAACTTTATTCATCTATGATCTATGCCTAAATATATTTGTGCCCTAGTGCATATGTTAGATTTCATTTTATACATGTCCACTTGGCTAGATTTCTTTGGTGATCCATTGAGATATCAGTGCTTATGACTTTTAAATCTACTCTATTAAAATAGAGTCATTCTTTTTATCTACTGATACAAGTTGTCATTTAAATTTAGACCCATTATAGAATGATACAAATAATATAAGTCATATAATTGATTGAACCGTATTACTTAAATTAAACCAACATAAATAATATAAAGAGACGATCTTAATGTAAACTACCTTCAAAATATGGCAGGTATCTATATGTATACCAAAAACACATATTTTCTCCTACAAATATGGAATGTTCTAAAAGAATATATATCATCAAAATATGGAATATGGAAATCTACTAATTATACTTAAATTAAATCAGAGGTTATTTATGGAATATAGTCTTGGGCTTACTTTTATTTTTTGAACAAATTATATAGTTTGGTTTTTGGGCTTAGTATTAAGAAAAAAAACGCTAAAAACATTGAATAAACTTTTCACTTTAAAAAATCAAAAAATCAATTATTATTTTCAGACCCAAAAGGTATTTAATATTTTTAACAAAACAAAATTATCTATTATTAATAATTTATTTAAATCATGTACTTTAAAACATGTTAATATATTTTTTTATTTTAAATAAAAATCACTTTGTTTTGATAAATTTCAATGGTAACTTTTAAATAATTTATTGTTTTATTTTTCTTAAATAATTTACTGATTAAAAAAATATAAAGCAAGACCAAAAACCAAATCTAAAAACTAAAACCCAAAACCAAAAGCTGAAAACACATGTTATATTTTTTTTGCTTTGTTTAGTTACAAAATAATCTATTTCAATTTTTTTTAAAAAAATTTGTTGTCATCTTTTCAGTTTTGAATTAGATGTTCGATTATTTGAGATTTGTTTGTTGGTAATATTAGTTCAAACTAACTCAGCGGGTTCAAAAATTAAAAACCCAAACCAAAAACTGAAAATGAAAAGTAGAAACTTAAAAACTAAAAACCAAAAACCAAAATCTAAAAATAAAAACTGAAATTAAAAACTAATGAAAAATAATCATCACCACAAATTTAGGTGAACTAACTTTATATCAAAATATTCTTTAAACTAAGACAAAACCCAATTATATCAATTTTTAATCATAAAATTTCCGCGCTTTCAAGCGCGGGTCAAAATCTAGTTTAATATTAAGTTTGAGCAATTATTAATGTTGTAGTGAAATAAAGTTACACAAATTTATGGAAAGAGAGTATTTTCCGCTAGTTTGAAATATGCTAAATGCATGGTCACAAACTCACAATGGAGCAAACACAATCCATATCTAATTACTATTTGGTAGAGGATAAATTGAAAATAAATATACGTACATCCAATCTACTGCATATGATTTTTAGAAATAAGTTTGATTAAATAAGAAAGATAAATGGTTTGTCACTGGAAAAATGTTTACGAATTGGTGGTCCATTTGTACCAAATCCTCCACATGATATTACCTACTTTTCATCTTTAAATAGTATTTGTAAGCCGAGAGTTAAGACAAGCAGTCAGAACAAAATGTCACAACAACGAGATTCCAGTGGCAAAGATGGAGTTGTTTGATTCAGACGCAAACAACAAAAGGCACAAACTCAATGTCACATGTCCACTCGTGGATCTCGAAACCAACATTGGATTATTCAGTAGTCTTCTTTTGCATAAACTACAAATCATCTGGGTGCTAAATTTAAAGTTTTTTATATAAGATACTAAATATTTAACTTTTAGAAAATGAGTTGTTCCTTCTTTCTTTAACTCGGAAGAGAGCAACCAAAAAAATAGTAAAATGGCTTTCTCTTCCGAGGTCCCTCCTGTTTCCAACATCCCTCCCTATACAGACATCTTTAAATTCTTCCCATAAACATATGAAGATGAATTGTTTGAAGATAAATGCAGTTTTTTCGTGTAGACACCATTCGCTGAATAGATCTGCGATGAATATATATGTAAGGTATGATCTCAATGAAAGACTTGAGCGGATGCGTAGTATTCACTCTCATTGAAGAAAGGTCTTAGATCTTCTTTGCACATGAAATCTAAAGGGAAAGAGACAAGATGTCCCTTTATCGACTTTAGTCTGTCCATTGGATCGCTTCTCTTGATGTCTCCATTGTGGTATGACTCCAGCTTCTCCGGTGCTATTCCTAAGTCGATGGTTGTGTGTCCCAGCTTCTCCTTCCAATACGATATACTTTGTCTGAACGCCATTCTGCATATAATACCAAAGAGGAGTCATGTTCCAGATCTTCATGATCCAAAATTTTTCAGGCTTAACATAATGATAGTGTCCAAAGCTGGAGAAGGTAAAGTTAAACCGGGATTGTACCTTGAATGGATGAGATCATTGGGTACACAAGAGAAGACATCCTGATATATCATTGTGTTTGTCTGCATTGCGATATAAATAGCTCACAGGTTATATATACATGACCAGTGAAATTAAAATGCTGATTATGTAGTCATGTTTCTAACCTTTGCAGTTGCCATCCATATCTCCTTGTAGGTTGAATCAGAAACGGGATCAATTATCTGATCAATCTGGAAACAAAAGAAAAAAGAAGCCAAAGATCGCATTATTATAAATACTAGCACGGGAAGCATTAAGAGTCTTGAAGACCTTCAATCACAAGCATTGATTAAAAGTTCAAGCTGGGGAGGTTTAGATCATTAGGTGTAAAACATCAGTTTCTAAGAGTAGTGTCCATGGCATTTAAAGTACTAAATATATTTATATACTGAAATCTCTTGCCTCCATTGGTTATACTATAGAAATATCATCCCAAGTCATATCTAGTATTCAGAGTTTGCCTCGATTTGGTAAGGATATGATACAAACCTCTCCACTACGAAGTCCAAGGTGCTCTGACCACAGAGACAGCCTAAGGCTCAAAGAAAATTTCCCAGCCTTCCATGGCTTTCCAGCCATGCGCGAATCTACCAACTCTTTGTCTTCGATCAGTACTCCAATCTGATATAAAGCACACAAGTTTGTTATGCTTCTTAATGTTCAGTATACATACCGCATTACCAAAGGTCAAACACATTCAGAATGTACTTTCAAATGAATTCCTCCCTAAGTTTAAACTCCGCTATATCATGATGAGGCACCAATAGAGTCTTTAATAAAGAAAAACGTGTTGACAGGATCTCAATTTTCTCCCTTTAGTGTCAAATATGAAATAGGCTTTTGGAACACCTCAAAAATAAATAAAAATGTCTAAAATACTAACCTCAGAATCCCTTGAGCCAAGCAAACTCCGGTCATTGATATTGGCAGATCCAATCAGTGCTGCACGGTCATCAATTATCATGATTTTACTGTGAACATACACCTGCACGGAGATAAAAATATATATTATTCAAAATTTTCAGCAGCCCATGACCAAAAGCATGAAAAAATATGCATCCTCCAGATGGTGCTTTGATGGCTAAAGAGTTTACCTGACTAGTGGCGACTGGTCCATCTTCAGAAAGTTTACCATACGCCCTAAGGCCGTAGAAGGAAATATAATCATGAGCCTTTGGGCCAACAGTTTTGTAAAGATTGTTCAATATTGAATTATGTCCTCTGTACATGGTTCGATACTGCCAATGCATTATGGCTCTAACTGATGCTGCACCGCTGTCATCAATACCTCCCTGCCAGGCACATAGCTCAGTTAGAACTTAGAAAAAATGCATCTCAGAGGAAAGTTCTTTTGAAAAAGAATACAGCGTTCTAAACGAAAACTAACCTGGAACCCCGGGAGGAGAGGAATAACAACAACAACTCTGAAACTTTTCTTTTCGTTATGGGCACGCAAAATCCTCTTGTACAACGCTTCTAAGACACGGTTCTTTATTGTGTCATCTCCAGAAAGGCCTGATATGAAAAACTGATTCTGGATACGCATTGCACAAGATGTAAAGTCAGAAAAATGGAGCGCATATATGTCCACTAGTCAATTTCAAGAACAAAATTACTTGTATAATGCGCATATGGCAGGTTGTTTTAGTAAAACTCTACATGATGTTGTCAAATTGTGATTCTATTAATATTTTTTTTAAAGCAAATACCTCAATGTAGATAAAATGCTCAGCTTTATCAATGAGAGAACGGTAGGCAGAATGGATACTCTCTTCAACTTGGCTGGTTCCAGCAGACCACTGGCTGACACTTCGTATAATCTGAAAATAGGTGTAATCAGTGCAAATATTGACGGGAAATATTGATTTTTCTGAGAAAATATTCGAAGACTGTACGCAAGGCGAGAAGGAAACGAAGAGGAACCAACACGCGCAAAATAAATTGAGAATGCAACAGGTTAATGGTATATATATAAACTTCCAAAACACCTACCTGACAGCGGCATGAAGTTCTCGGACCGACTTGTCCAGTCTCATCTGGCGACCCAACCTGATAACCACGTTCTTGTGTTTCCCACCATTCTGAATCTATTGAATTGGAACCGCGATTTGCCACTGGAAGACGTAGCACATTACGATCATCTACAAAGCCCCTCATAGGAGTATCTCCAACTACTGGTTCTATTTTGGATTTCCGGAAAGAGAATGGACCGTTTCTACTGTTAGTACCATTTGCTTTATGCCCCCTACTCGAACCATCCTCATCAACTGGCTCGTGAGGCAAAAGTAAAGGAATGTCCTGCAAAGATGATCCAGAAGAAAATGAATCATCTCTTCTAATCCCTTTAATACTGTCTTCGTCGTTCTTGCGTGCACTGTCCGACTCCTCTTGCCTTCCCATGTAGTGGGGTATAACCATGTGATGTTGGGGCATAAGAAGCGGAATTGAATCTTCGTATGGTGCTTTGTTTCTCTGAAAACAATCATTGATTATTTAACTATACTGACACCAAAAGTCAAACAGATAGAGAAAGTTCATGACGAATGGATAAACCTTAGCATAGTTCCAGCGTTGAACAAAGTGCCTAGCCACATCACGGCAAGGTGGACCCCATAAAGCACAATGCACATCATGCCAAGGCATCCGTGGATATTTTCCACGGTCTAACTCATCCTTCAGAGCATCTTCCCAAGTGTTTGGTTCAGATTCTCTGCAGAAATTTTAATGGCCTTTAAACAGTAATCAGAGAGTAGAATTCAGAAAGATGAAATGTGTATTAGAGATCCAATATCTGATTGGTGGAAAGCACCAAACAGTTTATCTTCAAACATCAAAGTCAAAACTACTGGCAAATGACAGATACTTGGTTCTAATTAAAACGTAAACTTGATAAACTGAAAAGAGACCCCATTTTACATCTAAAAATCAACTCACCTCTTTATTCGCGATAACAGATCTGTTAATATTCGTTGTACAAAGGAAATTCTTACCTGGGGTTGTAATAGTCCTTTCCAGGCCATGTCACAGAAGGGTTATCTCCTACTTTATGTTCAAACGTGTCGTACCGGCCAAAACACAAGTCCAGCCCTCCAATGAAGCAGACTTGATGATCGACGATGACGAGTTTTTCATGGTGAGACCTACACAGACATGCACAAGTACAAATCAAAGTTCTACCCGTTTATTTTGGGGTCAGATACGAGTTGTTAAGGTACACGAATCTAATAAATCATATAGATAAACAAGAAATAAAAGATGTTATAACTGTGCACCATATCATACCAGAGATAGACACCACTAGAGAAGTGGTCAGGATAACGAAGTACCCGCACATTCTCATGAATATCAAGAAGCTTGCGTTTGCTATATACACTGTTGATCTTTAAAGCAAGAGCAACCTCCTTGTATATAAGGATGTATATCTGAAGAGAGAGTAATAAAACATAAGAAAAATTGAGAATCCAAACAGTGCACTGAAGTTTAAATGAAGGAAAGATCAGAAGCAACCTCATAGAAATCTACCCTCCAAACTCAGAGTGAAAGAAATAAAGAAAACAAATCAGCATTTACTCTAACCAAAGAATTATCCCTGAGTATAATAATCATTGAATAAACTAACCAAATGCTAACTTCTGAGAGGACAGGAAGAAATTATCACATTCAAAACTATTTATGTTTACCAATTTCAATTACACCAAGTATACCAGAACAATGATTGATTCAGCAACATCAAATATTCACTGCAAGGCCACACAATACGTCTTACAAGTCATGCTACCAAGAGCATAGCCTTCAATGACAAATATTCTTGTGCTCATCCCTCCTAACCCGGCAAGTAAGATCTCCATAGCCCACTAAGGACTATCAATATAGAAGAAATAGCTACTAAGTACATACATGTCTGTAGTACGTACCTGAACTCCTTGCTTAGCTTTGTTCTCCAACAAGTTATCAAGTCTGGAAGACGTATGAGAATCGAAAGGACGCCTAAGATAGAGTTCTGGGCACACCCACCAGCCACAAATGAAAATCTACAAGACAAATCAGATCAGTTGAATAAGTAAGAAAATCAAATCATCGTCCTTCTCCACACCCTGCAATGCAAAGTGTCAGACCTCAGATTTAGCATTTTCAATGGCTGCAGCCATGGCTGCAAAAGCTGCTCCACCATCCACGAACCACTGGGCCTGACTTCCGTCATCTGTCAAACCCCTCGGGGGAGCAAATGAGCCAAAGCGATGAGGGTGGCACCAACCCTCTGGAGGTCTAAGAGCAGCATCGTTAATAGAAGCCACCCAATCTTTAACTTTTGCACTACTCTTCGCCCTTATTCTTATACTCCGGTTTCCAGATGTTACCTAGAATTTAAAAAAAAAAATTTAAGAAGCAATAATTCTCCACATATTTATTAACATCTAAATCCAGGAAAAATGAATTAGGCAATTAGCTAAAAGGGGACAAGAAACTGATGATGATA